TATGCTCCTGCCTCAGCCTTCCGAATGCTGGGATTACAGGTGCTCAACACCAAGGCATGCCTGGCTTCATTAACTCTTAATACCTCCCCACACTTTATTAATCAAGCTCTTTTTTATGGAGCAGGAAGGGCGAGGAAGCAGCAGTTTAAACACTACCCGCCCAGCCTCCCTGTGGATAAAGGTGGCCAGTCAGATGCAAGCTGGTGTCATGGGTCAGGAGACGTTGAGGAAAGCTCTTTAGAGAGGGCTGATTCATCTGAGAGCAAACATACAGCTGCCTCTGTTTTTCTCCTTCTTGTTGCCTGGAATGCAGACATGATGGCTGGAACTCCAGGGGCCATAGTAAACCATGTGAAGACCTACAGGATGGAAGCCAAGAACTGAAGATGCAGAGCATAAAGTTAGAGGTCGGGAGCCAGGCGTGGTGGTGCACGCCTGTAATCCCAGCACTCGGGAGGCTGAGGCAAGAGGATCATTGCGAGTTCGAGACCAGCCTGGGCTACAAAGTGAGCTCAAGGCCAGCCTGAACTGCATAGGGAGACCCTGTCTCAAAAAGACAAAAAAAAAAGTTAGAGGCTGGATTCCTCAAGACCGAGGACCGTGGGTCCACTATGCTAACCTGGAAGTGCTACATCCAGACCTCTTTCATGTGAAGAAAAATCAATCTATCTAAAAAAAAAAAAAAAACCAACTAATCAATCAATCAATTAAAGGGCTGTAAATGTAGCTCAATGCAAAGACCCTGCGTTCACTCCCCAGTACCAGAAATAAATAAACAAACAAAAGTGGCTGGGGATATAGTTCAGTGTGAAGACCCTGGGTTCAATTCCCAGTATGGCAAGACATACATATATATATTCATATTTATATACTACTACTATGAACACCTGTGGTTTTTTGTTTTGTTTTATTTGTTTTTGGCTTTTTGAGACAGGGTCTTGCTATATAGTCCAGGCGGCCCTTGAACTCACTATATAGCCCAGACTGGCCTAGAACTCAGGGTGGGCCTCCTGCCTCATCCTCCCGAGTGCTGGGATTACAAGTGTGCACCACCATACCTGGTAAGCACCTGTTTTAGACACTCAGAGTACTCTACTGAGTGCCAGCCCCTCCTCTCCCTTGCCCTGTGGCCTTGGGCACATGGTTCATTTCCAGAGCCTGTTTCCTCATCTGTAGAATGGGTGTGCAGGTAACATTCCCTCTCTCACCAGCTTCTGGCAGAGCTTAGGTGAACAAATGCAAATAAAATCGTTGGCCTGATACCCAGCTTGTAGCTATTACTGTACTACATTATGCAGCCACGCAGGCCCGGGTGCTGGCAGAACCAATCAGAAAATCCCAGCACATGTTGCTGAGTAAAACAACAGGTGGTGAAACTGGGAAGTGAGGAATTATTTTTATTTCCCCCGCTGTATCTACGCATCAGGCAATGGTTACCCACATGCTGTGGTGGTGATTTCTGTAGTAGAGATTTGCTTTCTTCTAAATGAAAAGGAGTATGCATTTCCTTTTCTCTTCTTATTTTAAGCAGGAAGAAAGGGAAACCCTTTGGAAAACAATGCAACTGCCCATGCCCAGATCCGTAAAGGCACCCCCGGCCTTGAAGCCAGCTTCTCACTCCGGGCAGCAACCTCAGGAAATAATCCAAATGCAGGAAGAGGCGATATCCATACACACATTCCCGGCAGCATTATTCATAGTAGGAAAAATCAGGCAGCCGTGTAAGTGCCTCACATTAGGGTAATGATTATTAAATTATTCACTCATTGGAACCTTGTGCAACAATTAAAATGGAAAAGATGATGATTGGAGAGCAATGTGGAAAATTGCTCATGAACAATGAGACACGAAAGGAGCAGAATGCAAAATTAGACCTGCGCCAGGACAAGGACCAGAAAGAAATGCAGCCAAAGAAAACTGCGTTGGGCCAAAGACCCTCAGTGATTTTCTGTTTCTTCTTCATTTCGCATCTGTCTCAGGATAATTAAAAATTTGTTTTAAAAATCCACCCCAGTGAACAGAAGGGAAGGCAGGGCGAAGATGGGAGCAGGTCTGACAGGAGAAATTCAAAGGTGATTTACAGACTCGGCCAGCAGTTCCGGCTCTGTCTTCTGCCTGTGAGGGCCCGCATCTCCTTTGCCCTTGGCCTTGCTGGTGATTGGTGATCAGATGGACCCCACGCACTGCCCAATGAAGCCAGAGTTCAGAATGCTCTTGCTGAGCATGGTGGTGCATGCCTGTAATCCCAGCGCTGGGGAGGCTGAGGCAGGAGAATCACAAGATCAAGACCATGTAGTGAGACCTTGCTTCAAAAAACTAAAAAGCAGGACACAAACATACAACTGACAAGGAAAAACGCCCACCACATATTAGGTAAAAGAAGGCTCCAAAGCAAGATATGCATCATCCCTCCTTGGTAAGATTGTATATGTAATTGTGTTCGTTGCATGTAAGAATTTCTGTAGATACACATCACAGTCTTACGTGGTTAACATTTGAGCCGCGGGTTTAAAATTGTACCCATCACTTTGGTCTCAATTGTGCTGTACAACTGACCTGAAAATCTCCTGGTTTACAGCGGTCCATGTTAATTTCTCTCTTGCTCTACTACAGCTGGGGGTGCGGGGAGGATGATGGACAGTTCTGTTCCGGAAGTGGGTGATGCCACAGAGACGGAACCTGGTAACGTAGGTTTTCACTGTCAGAGAAGCCCAAGGAGGGGAAATAGATGGATTCCTCATACGCATGGGTTCCCGGGCTCCAAATCTGCTGATTGGTGGTTTTGTTGTTGCTACTGTTTTGAGACAGGTTCTTGCTAGACAGCCCAAGCTGCCCTTGAACTCATGATCCTCCTGCCTCAGCCTCCTGAGTATTGGGAGTACAAGTGTGTGCTACCATGCCTGACATGATGGAAAAAACTGCATCTGTACTAAATGTGTACAGGCTTTTGTTTCTTGTTATTATTCTGTGAACACTAAAGTCTAACCACTATCTACATAGCATTTGCCCTGCATTGGGCACTGTAAATCAGAGATGATTTAAAGCAAACACCAAACCATGTACGAGATTTGAGTTTGGTATCCGAGGGGAGCCTGGGACCAGTCCCCTCCCCCACATACAGAGGGATATGACTGGATACACACAGAGCGCAAGCTATCCAGCACCGCACAGAAATGGTGGCTCCGGGCCCCAGGCAGAGGCCACAAAGAGGTCAGGATTTTGCCTAATTTAAGAGGCAGGCCAGCGCCTGCCCGGCAAGCGCGAGGTCGTGAGTT